AGTCAGGAGTATGTATGTGTGTACTCAAAATCCCAAGAGAAGAATGGAGGAGAAGGGATGGTGTCATGGCCATTCCCTCTGGAGCGTGATTTCTCTCTGTCTCTCTCTTTCTGGCAAGTGCACGCATCCTGTAGCAAAAATCTACCTATCTATCTATATCTATCTATCTATCTATCTATCTATCTATCTATCTATCTATCTATCTATCTATAAAACAACCTAACTTCCACTAATTTTTTTCAGATTTATTTATTTAATTTAATTAATTAATTTATTTATTTTTATTTGATCAAAGAGAGACAGAGAGAGAAAGGAAATGAGAGAGCAAGCCACCAGGTCCAGAACTTGAACAACGGTAAGACATGTAGGAATCTAGCACCTTAATCACCATGCCACCTGCCAGCTCCTCCACTACTTTCTTAAAATGTTCGCTAAAAAGGCCAAGTGATATGGTGATTATGGTGATTGGATCCCACACAGTCAACTGCATGGTTCAAGTCCTGGACCTGGCTTAAGTTTTCAAAACTTAAAAAACATCCCAAGGGGATAACCAAGCTGTAATCCCTTCTTCTCCATTCTCTTCTTGGGATTTTGGCCACGTATATACACGTACCCAGAGTGATTTTCAAGTCACCAGGTCTGGGACTCAAACCACAGTCAGCCATGTGAAAGTCCAATGCCTTTGCCACCATGCCACCTGTGAGGTCCTTCTCAAGTCATTTTCTAACAATGATTCTAGTTACTTTTATTTTATAGTAACTTCTATGTGAAAATATGAATTTCCAGAAAGATCACTTTCTTGATATTCATATTTCCAACAGTCAGGAATACATAATTTAAGAAGCAATTTCCAGGGCCAGCAGAAGGCATGGTGGTTAAGGGCACTGGACTCCCAGATGGCCAACCATGGTTTGAGTCCCAGACCTGGTGGCTTGCTTTCTCCTTTTCTCCCTCTCCCTCTCTCTCTCTCACGCTGTCCCTCTATGGTCAAATTAAAACAAATAAATAAAATAAAGTTAAATTTAAAAATTCTTTAAAAAACAAAGCAATTCCCATTGGGAAAAATATTTATTTGTAATTTAGAAATTTACTTGTGACTAGCTATAGACATGGTGGTAAAAGCATCTGAATCCCACATGACCAACTGCACTGGTGGAGTCCTGAATCAGAACTTGAAAAACACACCAGGTATGTATGCATGGGTGCCTAAATTTCCAAAAGAAAGAGAAATAGAGAAGGGATTGCATTGTGGCCATCCCCCATGGGGATGTTTTCTCACACACATACACACTTTTATTTTGAGTGCATGTGCTCTCTGAGAAATTTTTTAAAAAAGGAAATTAACTACTTGACCATAGAGAAACAAAACTAAAGCACAGGGCACCACTACCAAATGAACATTACTTTTAAAAATAAGAAAATAGGGGCCAGCAGGTGGTGTGGAGGTTAAGGCTCTGGATCCTACATGGTTCACTGTTCAAATCCTGGACTTGGCATCTTGAAAATCACACCAGACATGTGTGTGTTTGTGCCCAAAATCCCAAGAGGAGAATGGAGGAGAAGGGATTGTGGCATGGCCATCCCCCCTGGGGGGTGATTTCTCACTTTCCCTCTTTCTGTCTCTCTCTGGTGGGTGCTCACACCCTATAGCAAAAACCTATAGGTTTGCTGTTTACAAACATAATGCAAAATCATTCTAAAGCTAATATGAACCAAAAATTCAAGCCCATAAATTATTATTTTTCTAACAATTTATTTTATTTCATTTGTTATTATTACTTTTTTAATTTGAACAGAGAAAGAAAGAGAAAGTGAGAGGGCCAACTGTCAGGTCTGAGACTCAAACCATAGTCGACCAAATGGGAGTCCAGCATCTTCACCACCACAACAATGCTAGCCCCAGTGACCACAAATTATACAAAACAAATACCTGCACCAGTTGATGGTACAGAGGTTACACAACTGGAGCCACATGGAAAGGTTCTGGGTTGGCATTCCAGGGCCTCCTTGTGGCTGTCCAGGGCCCATGATCCAGGCTGGCTGAGGCTGGCATGGGTTGCGGCCTGAGGACCCTGTTGGTGGTGCTATCTGTCTCTCTTTCTCTCGCCTTTACATGGAACAAGCAAGTACACTTAAAAACAGAACAAAATAAGAACCTATGACCTTCTCTAATAATATTCCTTATACTAAGAACATACCTTTCACCCTACTATTCTGTTTTTGTTTTGTTTTGTTTTGCAGTATCTCTGTGATATGTCAATGTATAGATTTTATTTATCCTACTTTAGATTTACTGAATTCTTCAATCTGTGGATTAGTGCCCTTTATTAGTTTAGGAAAATTAACAGACTTGGGGCTGGCAGGTGGCATGGGGGTTAAGGAACTGGATTCCCATGTGGCCGGCCACGATTCCAGTCCCAGATCTGGCAGCTTGCTTTCTTTCTTTCCTTTTTTTTTTTTTTTTTTTTTTTGTGTGTGTGTGTGTGTTTTTTGGAGAGGTTTTTGCTATAGGGCATGTGTGCTCACCAGAAAGACAGAGAGAGACAGAGAGATAGAAAGCGGGAAATCACCCCTCAGGAGGGATGGCCACGCCACAATCCCTTCTCCATTCTCCTCTAGGGATCTTGAACATACATGCACACGCACGTGGGTTTAAGCCGCTGGGTCCAGGACTCGAACCACTGTCAACTACATGGGAGTCCAGTGACATAACCATTACGCCATCGGATGGTCCCCCGGCAGCTTGCTTTCTCACGTTCTCTCTCTCTGTCTCTCTCTGGTCAAATTAAAAAATAATAAAAAAATTAAATAAACGATTCTTTTAAAAAAATTAGCAGCCTTACTTCTTCAAATAATGCCTACCCACTATTTTTTTTCTCACCACTTGTCCATTAATTCTGGTTAAACACATATTATAGCTTATCATACTATCCTCCATACACTTTAACTTCTTGTCAAGTTTCATCTTTTTTTTCTCTCTGTGGTGTATCCGAAATAATTACATCTAATTTAGTCCAGTTTCATTAATTGTCTTTTGTAAAATTTTATTTATTCATTCATTTATTTTAATTTAACCAGAGAAAGGCAGAGAGAGAGAGAGAAAGTGAGAAAGAAAACCACCAGGTATGGGACTTGATCCACAGTTGGCCATGTGGGAGTCCAGAGCCTTTAAGCACCACACCACCTGCCAGCCCAGTAAAGTTTAATTCAGCTTTTTTTTTTCATTTTTCTCAGAATATTCTTTCTTTTTTATTTTTATTTTTTTAAAGTTTACTATAGGGTGTGTGTGCTTGCCAGAGAGAGACAGAGAAATAGAGAAAGTGAGAAATCACCCTCCTGGGGGATGGCCACGCCTCAATCCCTCCTTCTCCATTCTCCTCTCAGGATTATGGGCAGGCAGGCACCTGTTTTTTAATCTGCTGGGTCCAAGACTCAAACCACAGTGTCAGCAATGTGGGATCCAGCACCTTAACCACCACATCACCTGCAGCTTCTTATTTTTGGTTTTGTGGGGAATTTTTTTCAATGACAGAGAGTGTGTGCGTGCAAATGCAAGATTGTGACAGAGACAGAGAGAGAAGTCCTCTCCGTGGGCGTCTCATCAGGCCACACTCTCCTTTCCCCAGCCCTCCAGCTCCTCAGGATCCTGGGCACCCACATGCATACCAATGTGTTGTCAGGTCAACCTGGGGTCTTGAACCCGCTGAGAGCCATCCAGCTTCAGTCCTGCAGGGAACTGCGTTACTGCTGTACTGCAACGGCTCAGCCTGATTTTTTGTTTTGTCTTTTGACAGCGTTTCACCATGATGATCATAATGACATGGTCATCGTCATGGCATGATCCTCCTGCCCCCACTGGCCAAGTAGCTAGGACCACAGGAGCACACCACCATGTCCAGCCTGTTCATGTTGGGCAGGATGCCAAACCCAGGTCTTCCATGTGGCTTCAGTAACCAAGGAGCAGTGTTGTAGCTGGTGCTTATCCCCACAGCTGAAACTATAATATCCCTCTTTGCAGTTTCCAATACCCTAAGAGATTTCCAACCTGTCTTTTACGTCTTTAAAGATACCAATTATGGTTCATTGGTGTCTAACAAATCCAGTTTCAGCGGTCTTCAGAGACCCCTTTCTACTACCCTTCTTTCTTTTGGTTCTCAGTTATAATACCTTGTTCCTTTAATGTTTGGTTATCTTTTTTTTAATAATTATTTATTTTAATTTTATTTATTCATTCATTCCTTTATTTTAATTTGACCAGAGAGAGACAGAGAGAGAGAGAGGTAAAGTGAACAGAGAGAGAGAGAGGTAAAGTGAGAAAGCAGGCCACATGTTCCGTGACTCAAACCATGGTCAGCCATGTGGGAGCATCCAGCTCCTTACCCACCTCGCCACTTGCTGGCCCCAATGCTTGGTTTACTTTTAACATTGACCTTAAAAAATTACTCAAATGGGGACAAGCAGGTGGTGTGGTAGTTAAGGGCGCTGAACTCCCACATGGCCGACCACAGTTCAAGTCCCAGAGCTGGTGGCTTGCTTTCTCACGTTTCCTCCCTCTCACTCTGTCCCTCTCTGACCAAATGAAAATAAATAAAGTTAAATAAAATAATTCGTTAAGGGACCAGCAGGTGGTGTGGCAGTTGAGGCACTGGAATTCCTATAGTAAAAATCTCTAAAAAAAAAAAAAATCAAAAACAAAAGAAAATATGTATAAGGGCCAGCCAGTGGCATGGTGGTTAAGGCACTGGACTCCCATGTGGCCAACTGTGATTCGAGTCATAGACCAGACGATTTGTTTTCTCACTTTCCCTCTCTCTCTCTGGTCAAATTAAAAAAATAAATTAAAATAATGATAAAAATTAATTAAATTAAATTAATAATTATTTTTTTAAAAACTATGTCCAATTATGTTTTATGTAGCTTATTAACAGATTCTATTTATGATAGTCAGATTGGCAAAGTATTCTCATAGTGCTACAGTAACTCCAGTAAATGAGACTCACCTTTGTCCCAAGGGAGCCCTTCTCCATCTTTTCAAATCCAAGAGCCAACACACAATCTGCCATACCTTAAAAAAAAAGGAATAATTTAAAAATTCAAATTTCCAAACATCCAACAAAATATCATTAAATACTTCCATGTAAATAAGTACATTGGGGAACCAGCAGGTGGCATGGTGGTTAATGCACTGGAGTCCCACATGACCAACCATGGTTCAAGACCTAGTGGCTTGAAAATCACAACAAATAAATAGAAAATAAATCAATAAGTATTTAAATTTACATATAATAAAATGCAAAAGCATACTATAATCCTTCCTATAAAATTTTTGGTAAGTCTAAAATTACAAATAAAGCTAGTATATATTTCTAGATAAGAAGAAAAATCAAGGGCCAGCAAGTGGAATGGTGGTTAAGGTGCTGGGCTCCCACATGGCCAACTATGGTTTGAATCCAGGACATAGTGGCATGAAAATCATGCTAGGCACATGTGCATGCATACCCACAATCCCAAAAAGATAATAGAGGCAAAGGAACTACAGCATGGCCATCCCCCCAGGGGGTGATTTCTCACTTTCCCTCTTTCTGTCTCTCTCTGACGAGCACATGCACCCTATGCCAAAGACCTTAAAACAAAAAAAGTATGTCAATGTACATAAAATGCAAAGATATGCTATAATCCTACAATTTTTTAATAAGTATACAATTACAAAGAAAATTATATGTTCCTAGATAACAGGAAAAATCAAGGGGCCAACAGGTAGTATGGTGGTTAAGGTGCTGGCTAACTGTGGTTTGAGTCCTAGACCTGGTGCTTTGAAAAGCATGCCGGATGCATGTGTGTGAGTGCCCAAATTCCCAGAAGGAAAATGGAGGAAAAACATGCCGGATGCATGTGTGTGAGTGCCCAAATTCCCAGAAGAAAAATGGAGGAAAAGGGACTGCAGCATCCCTAAGGATGATTTTTCACTTCCCCTCTTACTGTCTCCCTTGCTCTCTCTGGTGAACAACATACCCTATGACAATAATCTTAAAAAAAAAAAAAAAAAAAAAAAAAAAAAAGAAAAGAAAAGAAAAGAAAAGAAAGATCAGCATGTGTGTGAGTGCCCAAATTCCCAGAAGAAAAATGGAGGAAAAGGGACTGCAGCATCCCTAAGGATGATTTTTCACTTCCCCTCTTACTGTCTCCCTTGCTCTCTCTGGTGAACAACATACCCTATGACAATAATCTTAAAAAAAAAAAAAAAAAAAAAAAAAAAAAAGAAAAGAAAAGAAAAGAAAAGAAAGATCACATCAGATACATATGCATGTGTACCCAAAAAATGAGGACCCACCCCCTAAGGGTGATGGCCACACTGTAATCCTTTCTCCTCTATTCTCCCAGGATTTGAGGCATGCACGCATATGTGCCCAGCATAATTTTCAAACTGCTAAGTCCAGGACTTGAACCATAGTCAGTCATATAGAAGTCTAGCACCTTGGGAACCAGCAGTTAACGTAATGGCTATGTCGCTGGACTCCCACATAGGCGACCACAGTTCGCGTCCCCGACCCGGTGGCTTAAAAAACACCCCGGGCGCATGTGCGTGCATGCCCAAGATCCCGAGAGGAGAATGGAGAAGAAGGGATTGCAGCGTGACCATCCCCCCAGGGGGGTGATTTCTCACTTTCTGTCTCTATGTCTCTCTCTGGCTGTCTGGCGAGCACACGCGCCCTAGAGCAAAAACCTCTCCAAAAAAAAAAGTCTAGCAGTCTAGCACCTTAACCATCATGCCACCTGCTGGCCTGATTATATTTCAATATAGCCTTTTCTAAAAAAAAGAAATATATTATCAGGCTGGCTCCATGACCTGGTGGTTAAGGCAACCAGATCCCACATGGACGATCATGTAGTTTGAATCCTGGTCCCAGCGTATCTAGAAAGACCTGCCAGGTGTGTGTGCATGTGTGCATGTGTGCCCCAAATCCCAAAAGAATAGAGAAATGGAGAGAGGATTGTGGCATGCCTTGTTAGGGGATGCTTTCTCACTTTCCATCTCTCTCTCTTTCCCCAGTAAATGGACACACAACCTTTGACAAGTTAAAAATAAATAAATAGGAAGTCAGCAGGTGGCATGATGGTTAAGGACGATGAAGTGCCCCCAGGGCCAACTGTGCATGGTTTGAGTCTCAGACTTGGCGGCTTGCTTTCTCACTTTCTCTCTCTCGCTCTCACTCTCTTGCTCTGTCTCTCTCTGGTCAAAATTAAAGTTAAATAAAATAATTATTAAAATTAATAAATATATATACATTACTAAGCACTTCCTCTGGTGGTCATGTGGAGAAATGATTAACCAGGGGCAATAACCTCTCATTTATTTAAGATAAATAAGCTGCTTACCACCCTGAATCAGCTGCCGGGCTACAAACAAAGCAGTAGACCCAGTAGAACAGTTATTGTTGACATTGATTATAGGAATTCCGGTCAGTCCCAAACTGTGATAGATAGCTCTCTGCCCACAGGTAGAGTCACCTGTATCAAAAAAAAAAAGAAGGAAGAAAGAAAAAATTAATATCTGTAACATGGGAATTAATTACAGAAATGCACTGCGATGGAATATTATATTACAGTTTTTCAGTATTTTGCTTTTGCCTAGCATATGACATGGTTGGGATAGTAAACATACTACTGAAACATACTCAGAAACAGTTTTCGCATTAAGCATCATTTACTTTGCAAACATAATAAAAGTCTCAAAACAAGGAATACATGTGCACTTTCTTTATGTAATAAAGATATAAGAAAACAGAAAAGTGATCGGGTGATAACCATGAGTCAATCTAGCCAGGGTTATGTAATCGAGAAGGCGCTATTTCGGGGACCAGCAGGTAGCGTAGTGGTTAAGGCGCTGGACACTCCCACATGGTCGACCAGGGTTCGAGTCCTGAATCTGGTGGCTTGCTTTCTCACTTCCTTTCTCTCTCATTCTCACCCTCTGTCTCTCTCTGGTCAAATTAAGAAATAAATGAATGAATAAATAAAAAAAATAAAATAATTATTTAAAAAAAAAGGAATCGCTATTTCATTAACTCTTGACTATCAGATAGAAATCTGCAAACTACACCAACTGAATTTGTCTTGGGTTACTTCCATATAAAGACTTCACAACTTCAAAATATTTCAGAGGTCCTGTGTGCCGGGGCATTCCTGAACAACGTGGTCTGAGTTGAGTACACATGTGATTTCCTCTCCCAAGTGACATGACCACCAATGCAGACACACTGCACAGCATAGTGGGAAAATTTGAAGGCTTAGACTCTCTACGAGTCTTTGGCAAAATTAGCAAGGTTCAGGGTCTCCTTCTCAGTATATACATTCTTCATCCCTTCAACTCAGTAAGTTTCCCTGCTAGAATTCTCATGATAAATTCATATTTCAAGGAAGGAAGTCATTAATAGGTACAAATTTATCTAAATTAATAATTACTCTAGTATTTTTTTTATAATACTGTATCATTTTTATAACTAGAAGTTAGAAATAACTTAAAATGCAAGGACAGGATATTACTACTACTATTACTATTCAATAAACTGGTGAAGCCCTAAGACTAGAATATTATGTAATCATTAAAAATGCTGTAGGTGATGGGGCCAACAGGTAGCATGGTGGTTAAGGGCGCAGGATCCAACACGGCCAGTTGTGGTTCAAGTCCCAGACCTGGCAGCTTGCTTTCTTACTTTCTTTCTCTCTCTCTCACCCTTTCCTTCTCCGGTCAAATTAAAAATAAATAAATAAATAAAGTTAAATAATTCTAAAAATAATGCTGTAGGGGGACCAGAAGATAGTGTAATGGTTATGTTGCTGGACTCCCACATGGCTGACTGTTCAAGTCTCAGATATGGTAGCTTCAAAATCACATCAGGCACATGTGCATGTATGCTCAAGATCCCAAGAGAAAAATGGAGGAGAAGGGATTGCAGCATGGTCATTCCCCGTGGGGGGGGGGGTGATCTCTCACTTTCCGTCTCTCCGTCTCTCTCTGTCTTTCTGGCAAGGGCACACGCCCTATGGCAAAAACCCC